TTTGCTTTTAATTTTTTTTCATTCTCTTTTTTGGGGTCAGAGGGGAAAAGTAGAATTCGCTTCATAAGAATTTGAGACTGATCTTACCTAGGATTATTAAGGTCAAGATGACTGTTATCCATACGTATATAAATGATGAGATTCAGATCCTTTGAAATAAAGTTGTGTTGACTTTTACCGCCTTAAGGTTGTCGTAAATAATGTTATTTAGTTGCACATTGCTCTAGTGGAATATTCAATATTCCACCCCAAATTCTCGTAGAGTGAGTAATGATACACATGGGGGCTGTGTATTGACATTCGTTTCACCCAAAAGGCATGATGTTTTAGAAGCCACCAAGTCATGATACACATGGGGGCTGTGTATTACTCCCTTTTCCTGTAAAAAGGTTATTTTTATTTTTAGTAAATAAATTTTACATATTAAGAAATTAAATATTTAAAAAATTATAAAGTTGCAAACGCAAAATTTAGATTTGATAAAAGTTGAATATATAAAGTAAAAGATTACCAATCTTATCTCCACAAGGCGATTAAGTTTCATAACAAATAAATACAATAGGTCCATCCCAGCTTTGACTGGGATAACTTCAAAAAAAAATTAATTGTTAATGTTTTTCCTTTCTAATATGCACTTCTTCCAACTTTCCCTTGTTACTTTAATTTTCCTATTTTATACTCCGTAATAAAATAGAGAAGTGATCCCCGGTAGTTCCTTCACCATGAGTGGTTTGCTCTGAAAAAAAAATTAATAAATAAAATAAAGCAAAAGATTAAGAAGGCTTTACGTTGACTGAAAAATAGTGGACGAGAACCTTTAAATGGGACAAATGTAGTAAGATTATTTCTAGTAAACAAAATTTACATATTCAGAAACTACATTAATTTTTTATAAAGTTAAAATAATGAACGGGAACCTTTAAATGGAACGGAAGTAGTAACATTATTTCTAGTAAACAAAATTTAAATATTCAGAAACTACATTAAAAGTTTTTATAAAGTTAAAATAATGAACGAGAACCTTTATATGAGATTTCTAGTAAACAATATTTACATATTTGGAAACTACTTTTTATAAAGTTAAAATATTGAACGGTAACTAACCTTTAAATGAGATTTCTAGTAATTAAACAATATTTACATATTCAGAAACTACATTAAAATATTTTATAAAGTTAAAATAGTGGATGAGAACCTTTAAATGGGACGGAGGTTGTAAGATTATTTATAGTATACAAAATTTACATATTCAGAAACTACATGATTTTTTTAAAGTTAAATTAGTAGACGATAACCTTTAAATGAGACAGGGGTAGTAAGATTATTTCTAGTAAACAAAATTTACATATTCAGAACTATATTAATTTTTTTATAAAGTTAAAAAGAAAATCAAATTCGATAAAGATTGAAGTTTCAAAATAAAAGATTAAAAACATTAAGTTGACCAGACGAATAGCTAGTATAATACTTCAATTTGTACTCATATTTTAAAAAGTCCAACAAGTATATTGACGGTTGTAGGAAAAGTCAATTAACCAGTGATCGAGTGAATACACAAATTTCAATTCATACAATCATAATAAAACTTAATTTATTGACCGAGCATGATTTTGGATATTCCAATTTTCACTTTTTAATATTATTTTAGCCCCTTTCTGAATGCTGTGATTTTAATCTAAACCCCTTTTGACGATCAAAAAAATATGCTCCAGTATTATTTTCTAATTTTCATATTATCTTGTAACCAAGGCACTATAAATTCATTAACTTTGATTGCATGATCAATGCCACTTAATTGTTACGTCATATATTTATTCTTTTCATTTATTAACTATTCCCTCCGTCCCAATATAAAAGCCACATTTTTCTTTTGGACCATCCCAATATAAAAGGCACATTTCCCTTTTGACAAACAAAACAGTGCAAACAGTGTCAAACAGTGTCCAAATAGTGTCAAACAGTGTCTAAACAATGTCAAACAATGTTCCTCCTAAAAATGTTTGAAAACGCAAATGTGCTCTTTATATTGGGACGGAGGGAGTAGTATTTTACACGCATGTTGAAGCGTTGGGCGATTAGATAAATTCCCAGTAAAATATGTTTAAACAAATCACTGCACAAGAATGTTATTTAATTACTTCTAAACCCGAACATAAGTCCACACTCCCCAGAAACTGTTTATTATGGATATTGGAAACTCCAAAAGTATGTTTAAACTGGAATTTAAGTAGCAATGAAAGCTAGCTACAAAGAAATATGAACCTCAATAAGTAACATTATCAAGTCACGTTTTATAAGTTCTTTTCATCCTTGGTTACGTTGTCAATAGTGAGATGCAAATTACCCAACAGATATGACGTAGTGCAAACCCAATAGTGAAGTAATATACAATGATATAGTCTTCTATTTTTGTCAAGAAATCTTCAATATTAATTGAAAAAAGAAAGACATAAACTATTTGCAAGGAATTTGACAACATATATGAACATACCAACAGTGACACTCGTTCAAACTGAAACAAATTAAATTGAATTTACTTTTCAACAATATTGGCAAAAGCAATATTATTGGCATGTATATTAAAAACATTATTTGGCAAGCTAGGCAATGAGTAGAGAATATGAAAGAACTACACCATCGTAAAAAGTCCCTAACAAGATGAAAATTTGGAGTTGGTACAATATTTATCAATATACTCCGTATCAACATACAATTAATTTTTACAAATAATCAAGACTTGAATTTTGAGAAAATAAAACATGGTGTACGCCTCTACCCAAGGGCCCAAGGCTTACTACTCCTTTATAAAGACAAAGACAAAGTAATTGTTTGTCTAGAACTTACTAAGAGGCATAAATAACAAAAGTTGCAGCTGATATTCATTATCAACATTTAAAAATATTGCAACACAAAAATGCTTTCGTATGGACTTACGGAGTGTAATTTATCTACGCTATTGTTTTGAATATTTGGAAAGTAGTTGTTGAATCTTGTAGGTTAGGGCTGAATCAATAGCCAAATGGACGAATGTAGCCGCTAATCACGTCTAGATGAATGTCTCTATTACCATTTACCATAATGACAACAATAGAATTAGACGTATCTTATCATTGACTTCTATGCAAAATCAAAAATGTTTGGTGTACGTTTTTTGACACACTTGAGAGATATAAAATACTATGGAGTACGTAAAATACTATCATTGACTCCTATCAACGACACACTTGATAGGATGTAAAATACTACGGAGTGTCTTTACCTGCGTAGTGGAAGTACATTAAATGTTTAACGATTTGATTATTTAATGTAAATTGTAAGGTATTTTTAAAAACATTTTGCAATGTACCATATAAAGTATTTTAAGTGGGAGAACGTGGTAAAATACTTTGCATGCGTGGTAAAAATACCATAATGTCTTTGCATGTAAATTAAAAACAAATTACACATCTAGTTTTCTTCTTCTTCATTACCCCAGTGCCACAAAGGTTCCCACCTACGGTGGGATAAGGGGGGTTCGATGTACGCAGTTTTACTCCTGTACTAAAGCACAGAGAGACTGTTTCCGGATGACTCAAAGTGAAAATTGCTTCAAAAATTGCATGAACTGACTGTTGTTTCATAATAAAGAAGCGCAGACCGTTTAGTACGTGAGCCATTTTGCTTCATTGCAAATATTTCCAAACCAAAAAATAGTGAGTCCTGGCTCTATTACAAATGATGAAATTTACACATCTAATCACATAATGTAATCTATTTTTCATGTACAATGATTGATTCCGGAAACTTTGTACGCAATCATTTCACGTGCAAAGATTTAATGTGTCAACTACCAAACGACTTGAACACTCGTAATCCATTTGTTGTTGCACTAGGCACGTATGCAACTAGCATAGTCCCATATGCGTTATCGTAGAGAACAATTTTATTCACCAAATAAATGAGAGTGATGTTCACCCCTCCCTATTGGTCTGCCATGTGACATGAAATTCATTTTTATTTTGTAATTATTAAAACTATTTCATTTGTGGTTCAACTTTTTTTAAAAACATATAAAGTTTGTATTGTTTTTTGTGGTCCTTACTAATATTACATATATATTTAATATTAAAAAAAATCCGGCTAAAATAGATATTTGGAAAAAAGATTTTTTAAAATTCTTTTATATACAATATACTAGTGTTGTTGCAAAGCTTATATATATATATATCCCTTAATTGTTTTATTTATATATATATTTTTATATAAAAACTGGATTATAAATAAGAGAAAAGAGTTTGTTTTCTAAAATAGTAGTATTACGGAGTACTAAAATATTTTTTATACAAATATAACTAATAGTCACTACATGCAATACATAGTCATGATCTCTTAAGTTTAAAAATTATGTATAAGTTACAATGATTGAGTTACAACTACAATGACTAGTCACACTTTTATAAACAATCTTTACTTTAATCATAAATATGTAATTTTTTTAAAAACTATATATATTGCATCCGTCCCATTTATATGTCTATATACAGAAGTATTAATAATAAGAAAATGATATGGATTTTTTTTTATTAGAATAATATCATAAAAGTATAAAATTATTACTCCCTCCGTCTTACTAAGATTGTCCCAGACACTATTCACTCGGTCAACACAAATCATTCTTAATCTCTTACTTTATTTATTAAAATTTTATCAAATTTGATTCTGGTTTTTGCGACTTTGTAAAGATTTAAATGTAGTTTCTGGATATGTAATTTTTAATTTCTAAAAATAACTTGAGTTGGGACAGGGATCAATTTGCTTTATCATCGGTCAAACATCGTAAACCGAATTAATTATCCCAAAAATAGTGGGACGGGGTAGTAATTTTTATTACTCCACATTAGTTAAATAACGTGTCAAAATTTACTATTTTTGACTGAAAAAATTAAAGATGATTGACTAAAATGAGCCATCTGTACTATACTACTATGCCTTTAAGAAAAAAACAGCAATGTCACGCGAGGGTGACCAATTAAGACCCTGGAGACTTTTTGGGAAGGATGAATAAAATTGGACTCTGTCATCGCTGAGTCAATTCATCTCATTCACACTTAACCGTTTGGACCATCGGAAACGAACTTACATTTCTCAAACACTCTTACGCTCTTACTCGTATATAGTTGTTGTAAAGCCCCAGTTTATTGATCGAGTTGGAAACCGATATTCCAACAGCAAATTCTACACGAATATGGCTGCTTCGTTAGTTCCTATGATCATTTTACAATTACAGCTTTTATTCAAAATTTTCAACACTTATTTTTCAAGACTTATGAATTTTTTATGGTTTATGAATTTAAGTCTGGGTTTAAAGGGATTTGAATTGAAAATTCTTTCCATCTTGTTGAGCAGATTCGTTCAAGAGATCCTCCCTCCCTATTTGGACTCATCATCCCAGCCACCTAACCTCTTCGATGGAACCACCAGGTACCTATTTAATTTGCGCGATGAGCTATTATATGGATGATCCTTTCTTAACAATTGCCCTTTCTTCTTAAATTTAAAATTTGATGAAGGTTGTACACCAATTATCAGTGTCCTTATGCTCAGCGTGTTTGGATTACAAGGAATTACAAGGTTTGTTTCTTAAACTTTTTCGTAAAGAGCTCGTTCGGTAAAACTAAAATTGATTGAATTTGATGGAATTGTGGAAATTGAGCAGGAATGGTTGAATTTGCTTACTTGTGATTTTTTTTAATTAAGATATAAATATTACATGGACAAAATGCTTAAATAGCCCCCCTCCAGCAATTTCAGCCGAATCAGCCGCATAAGTAACTTTGTCCTTAGCTATTTTATTTATTTTGATTATTACTCAATTCAGTGAGTGAAAAAAGAAATTGTTTGGGAAAAAAGTCGTGTGACAAGGCTTACGGGCCGAAAGAAAGGGTTAACTGTATAAATGTCTTCTCTACCGATTTACTTGTATGTTAATAGAATCAATAGTGCTTGATGACTTGATGTACCCACCCTTATACCCAACTTATACCCACTCATGTTTGTGAAGGTTTTTGGTTCATTCATATGTGTTATTTTGTTGTGCAAATTTTGCACAAACAAAATATTATCTGTGAACGGAACTCACAGACAAAAAAACTTTCACAAACATTGATGGTATAAAAATAAGTATAAGAGTGGGTACAAACATCATTTTTGTAACAGAATAGCAGGTAAGTGATTATAAGAGGCAAGATGTACGAAATTTGTGATTTTAAATCATTACATCTTACAACCTTGCATTGAAGTTGGATTAGCCCCTCTATATTACTCCATAATTTGATATGTTTCGTATTGATTACAGAATTCAGCTACCGGATTGGCTGAATCTGGATTCGGCTTGATATTCGATACTTTCTATTAATTACTTTATTTTATTGGGGATTACCTGCAGGGTCTACAAAATGAGATAAAATTGGTTCCAATTGACCTTCAGAACAGGCCTGCTTGGTACAAGGAGAAAGTGTACCCTGAGAACAAGGTACTACTCCGTAATTCGTTTGTGATGAAAGCAGCATTTTCATGTCATGTGCAAATGATGTCTAAGCCATAGCTAAACTTGTCAATTTGACATTCTGTTTTACTAGTCATTAGTGTTTGACTTTTCCTCATCTGTAACATATCCAAATAAGAATATGTCAAAGCAAACTATGTACCTCACCGAATAAATTTCACTTTTGGTCCTCTGAGTATCGCACTAATTCCACAATTAGCCCACGTCTTTGACTTTGACTACTTTTAGTACATGACCATTGTTTTTCGCCCATATGTGGTCCTTCTAACGATGTTTCCGGGGGTTAATATCGCTAGAGATGTATTGGAAAATTAGACAGAAGCACCACAAATGGTCAAGAAACACTAGTGGAGTGCCAAAAGTGGATACATTGAAAGACATGGACTAAATGTGGAATTGACATAAAACTCATCGGACCAAATGTGCAATTAATTCAAAGTTTGTTGTGGCCTCATGCCTGCTGGTTTCTCTTTTTTAAACACAATAAAACTGGTATTCAGTTTGCTCCATTTTAGTACATCATTGCTCTACAGGAGTAATTATACTCCCTCCGTTTCAATTTTTTTGACACTTTCCTTTTTTGGACGTTTCAAAATGAATGCAACACTACTTTATTTCCTTATTTGGTAAACAAATCTATATCAATACAGTACAAAGCAGTACAAAATAGTGTCCAAACAGTGTACTCTACCGTAAACTTTACCCCTCTGTAATTTTTTTCCTTAATCTTTGTGAAGTCATAGTGTGTCAAACAAATTGAAACGGAGGGAGTATGTTTTAGGATCAAGCGATTATGCTACAAACTTTTGTAATTTTATTGGGTGTACTGGTATACCGAAAGGAACCCATTGTTGTAATATACTCCGTACTAAAATCGCCCACCTTTCTTTTTTGTGAAAGTATTATCACACTCATTTCTTTTTGCTTATAAAGAGAGCAGACATCATTCTGAACCATATTTTATTAATGTTTGAATCCCATCAAACTGGGCAAGTGGGCATCATTTTTTACTTTTGTAATTTTTTTTAGAGATTAGAGTATCATCAAGTAATTCATTTAATAGTTTCATACTTGCACGTTACAAATGGTGTGAAAGGATGAGGTCAAGCAGGCTTTCACCTGATTTTTAAATGGGGCATAGTTTGTCTGATAATTTGCTGAGGTAGTAAGGTCAGGGCATTAATAGCAGTGAATCTTTGATGCAGCTAATTCATGATTTTTCTTTTTCTTTTTCTCTTTCAATTCTTTTATCGCGTAGGTGCCCTCTTTGGAGCACAAAAACAAAATTATTGGAGAAAGTCTGGACCTGATTAAGTATATTGACAGTAACTTTGAAGGTCCATCTCTTTTACCAAGTGTAAGATTCAAATGGCTTTTCCATTTTGTTATTATTCCATACCCTTCCCCATGTTAGACATCAAATATTTAAAGGTTGCCAATAAAAAAATATAGGATCCTGAGAAGCAGAAGTTTGCTGAAGAGTTGATAGCCTATAGTGACACATTCAACAAACAATTGTTTGGTTCATTCAAGGGAAACCCGGAGAAAGATGCAGGTAACTAAAACTCTTGATCTTGAATGCAAATATTTGTGGGTTTTTTCAAGAATATTTGTGAAATAGACTTTATGGAAAAATATCAGTGAAATGGACTTTATGGACAAAAAATATTGTGACTACAAATACTGTGAGCTTAACGCCATTTCAATGCATTTTAAAATTAAACATAATCGTGGTTAGAACTACTACTAATCTACTATGGTGTATGCGCATACAAACTCACATCTTTGTCCACTATCTTCATTTTAGTCATATATTGGCCATTATTTCAAGATTTATTATAGATTACAGTTGATTTTTAGAGTTTAATTAACCAACTGTTATTTGTAATACTACCTTCTCAGCGGGCGCCCTTGACCATATAGAAAAAGCACTTGGCAAATATGATGGACCTTTCTTCCTTGGAGAGTTTAGTCAGGTATGCGCATTTTTCACGTTTTATTGATATCCAGCCCGGGAGTGTGGTGGAGCCTCTTAATTTGAAGCATCTTACATTGCAAAAGATTATTGTTACAATATTAGTTCACTCAAGAACTTGGGATTGAATTTTTGAAGGAGGCTTGGTTTGCTTCAATTCCCTAGCCCCCGGATTGCTCGATCTCGAAGGAAGAAAAGGAAAGAAAATCTTATTATTAATTGTAAATTGTTTTTACTCAGGTTGACATTGTTTATGCTCCATTCTTTGAAAGGTTCCGCCCCTTCATACTAGAAGTGTTTAAGTATGACATTGCAACAGGCAGGCCTAATATAGCAGCATGGATTGAGGTATTGAACTATTGATCATATCGTAACAATTTTATTATTATTATAGTATCATCTTTGTTTGGCGCAAAACTGCAATTTTTTTTGGATGGTTTTGATTTTTTATCTTCTTAAAACATTTCATTTCTTTTTAGGAGTTGGAGAAGCTTGATGTTTACAAAGTAACAAAATGTGACATCCCAAAGATGATTGAATTTTTCAAGGCTCGCTTTCAGGTACCAGTTGGATAATAATATCATAGTAAAATCCTTTATTGCAGAGCAATAATTTTTCATTTTTACATATGCCAATATCCCTTGAATTTTTCTTGCAGGTTCAGGCGTAAAATGGAGATTGATTTCATCCATCTTTCAAGTGATAAGATAGTATTTTCATCAACAAGTGATGCTGTTTACAATTTGCTATAGATCTTAAACATATATTGCAATTTGCAATGCGTGATAAAAACATCATCCTTATTGTTGATGCGTGATAAAAAACCCTACCTTTATAGCTCACTCCAATAAAATTCTGGCTCTAAACTTTGATGTATGTTACGTTCGGCTATTGTATACTCCATAATATATATGGAGTTGGCTTGTTTGTCGATGTTCCCATTGTGTCATGGGATATTTTAGAATCCCTTACTCTTGAACTGAAATTTACTTTATGAAATTGGTTTGGAGGTTTGGTTTGATATTAGGTAATTCTTTTATACATATGTTTTTCTTAAATAGTGTAATACGAAGTATATTGTCCATGGCCATATTATACTTATTGAAACACAATCTAATTTTCGTTTGTAAGTTGGTTCTTTCGCCCCGCAAAGATTATCTCATATTTCCTTGTATTTCCGTCATACTTAGATTGTTCTATATGAAATTTGATTAATTTACGTGATTTTATTCTTATTTTATTAATTTAGTATTAATCAATAAATCTACATGATTGCATCACTTTTGAATGTAACAAATTTTTTTGGGATAAAGATTTGGATGTTGTTGTTGATAAAAATAAAAACATGTTTAAATAACTATAAAAAAGTTTTAAAATGTGAGTGTTATACTTCTTTTGTATAATTATGAAAGTTCTATTTCCTTTTTATCCATTCCATTCATGTTTGCATTTTCTTCTTTACTTTTTCTTTTATTAATTCAATACTAAATACACATACTTTTCTTTTCGATTAAGGATATTTTCTTTTGGACTGTTTTCAGTTCCAGACCAGACTTCCATAGTTATAAAATACACAGAGACCAGCCGTTTACCAGACCAGACCAGACTTAAACAGACCAGACCAGACCAGCAAATTTCAGTCCAAAAGAAAACATCCTAATTCATATTTCATATTGAGTACTATTTAGATTATACTTATTCCATCATTCCATGCCTATTTACATTATACTTATTCTATAACTGATTAATATCATTGCCTTGCTCACTTCAACAGTTCAACTTGGAACTATTTTAAAGTTTCATTAACTCATTTGGGATACAGAATTGATACACAAAAATTTAAATATTTAAAGAGATATTATGATGAATAAGAATAGCATTAGAGCATCACCATTCCTAATCCCATAAAAATCACACTTTCTAGCATTCTTGCCTTTTAAATATTCTTACATAACTAATTTTTAAATAATCTCAAAATCCATTTATGCCACTCAACCATCATCTTCAAATAATCCGCTTTTTTCTCCGTCCGACATTAACGTATTACACATACTTTTCAAATAATCTTAAGATAATCCGGATTCATATTTTGATCCCGGATTATTCTAGCAAATAATCTCATTAAATAATCAATGTCTCTAAAAAATTTGTCATGTCACTAATTTAATTCCTCAATAATCCTAACAATGAGGATGCCCTTACAATGATGTAATGAACTGAAGAATCAAATCAACCATTTGGGCATCAAAAGCAGGACCTTCCATCTGAAAATGGCTGACCCCTTCAAGGAGATGCGTTTGGTTCCTCTCCCCTGCAGCTTTCTTCAGCTTCTTCTCCAATTGCCCCACACTGGTGAACCCATCTTTGGTCCCCATTACAAACAGCTTCGGCTTTAGGGATTGCAATACGGCTTTTTGGTGCCCTCCAAACAGAACCGAAGCGGTGAATCCGAAAGGGTAGCCCAAGCTGACGTAGCCCACTACTTCCTCCACCTTATCAATTGCAGATCCGGCGATTGCAGCTCCGGCGGAGGATCCCACGACGACGATGCGGCTCGCGGAGAGGTTACCGGCGGCCCACTTGCAGACGGAGACGACGTCGTTGACCTCGGCGGATCCGGTGAGGGAAGCGCGTCCGGTGGATTTTCCGGCTCCGCGGGTGTCGAATGTGATGGCAGTCAGTCCTCTACTGGCCAGACCGCGGGCCATTCCTTTCATTAGTCCCTGGCAGCCACCTAGCACTGAGTAGGGATGCACCATCACCACTACCAACGCCGCATAGTCGGCGTCCTTGTGCGCGTGATCGGCGGCGGATGGTCGGAAAATTCTGGCATCGAGATTGACTCCGTCGGTACTCTGGATGGTGGAATACTCGGTGGTTGTTTCAGACATTTTTGGAGACGGCGGGTGTGTGGACTGTGTAGATCGAATCAGTGGTCAAAAGCAAATAATTTAATCATTAATTAATCATATCACCCGTTCTATAATTCTGTTTGACTTTCACGTTTGTCAATGAACAACTTCGACTGTAATTATATTTAATTATGTATTAGTAAATATTATAAAAAGTTGATATTTTGGAAATTCACATTGATAAGAGTTCAATAACATTTTATACGTAATAATTTGATTATGTATATTAGTAGAAAATCATGGTCAAAGTAAGATCTGTGAATAGTGTAAAAATCACAATGTTGCAAGAATTATAGAACGGAGGAAGTATTACTCCGTAGCATTAAAATAATTAAAACGCCTATCCGCATCCATTTGAACCGTTGAAGCTCAGCACCAATCACGGTTAGCCGACCGAATAAATTGGACTTCAATTCAGAACCTGTTTGGTAGAACGAAAATCGACTGTTTTGGCTGATTTTGCTAAAATTTATGAAGTTCTGTATGAAGTGACTTTTTTGGCTGATTCTGCTAATTTAAGGAAAAATTAATTTTAAAATATATTTTATTAATAAAATAAAGAAAAAATTATATGTAAAAATATCTAAAATAGTCATCTACAGTATCTTCAGCCAATACAGCCAGAAAAGTAACTTCAAATTTACTTTTTCTCCTTATTACACAATTCAGCGCGCAAAAGCAAAAATCACGTATTTGGTGAAAAAGTTGGCTGATAAGCCGAAAAACAGTGTTGACGAGCAGCCTTTCAAATTAACGTTGTCTCTGCCCTTTTCATGTTCACTACAATGTAGTGAAGTTTTATAATTTATTGTTGAAAAATAGAATCGTTTTTTAAGATTGTATGTTATAAATGGCATCACAATTTTGACATGTGTTTGCCGTAGAGTTTTTTCCCGTATTAATGTTAATTAATTAATTAAGTAATTACGAAAATAGGGTTGAGTTAAAAGTATTTATTAAAATACTGCTGGATTAACCATGGTCGGGGTAAGTCGCTCAACCGTTGGGCGACTTACCCCTTAAGTAAAAACGGGGTCAGTCACAAACAGAACGCACAAAACAATTAGCCCCAAATTTATCTGAGCTGCAGCGACGAAAGCAGAAGACGACGGACGACGACCGAGGAGAGGCATCCAACTCCGGCGAACCTCCACCTTCATCTTCAACACTCTTTCTTCTTTCTTCTAGGTAAATCAAACTCCATTTCATCTCATTTTGAACTTAGGGTTTTGAATGTTAAAAATTTCGAATTTTTGGATTATGAATTGATTGTGAATTAAGTTGTGAAATGTAGATATGTATGAAATCTTGAAATTTGATTTTAAATTGATTGTAAATTTTAATGTGTATTTTGACATTTGGGCATTTGGGTAGACTTGAATGTAGCTAAATTTGGGTATTGAAAGGTAGACGTGAATGTAGATATCAAAATTTTGATAGTTTCATATTGAAATGTGAATTTTTTGTGAATTTTGATTTTTGGATATATTACAATTTTGGTAGTTTTTTCTATTGAAAATTTGAATGTGTTTAAAGTGTGTATATTGATGCCTACTCATGAATGTTGGACAATGAATTGTTATTAGAATATGGATTTCTCAAGCTTCCCAATCATATGTCATTGGAGAGTGGTTGACAACGACGTAGGCGTAGGCGTAGACATGAGCAGCAACATCTCCATGACGAAGCTGACGATGGGAACTTGTAGTTTGTCTTTTGTATTGTAGTTTTTCGTATGCAGTAGATGTTGTAGGAACAATTTACAACATTTGACGTATTTTCTCTTGTTAAGTTTTGTATGTTGTCTTGATGTGTTCGAGTATGAATATTAGATGATTACTTGTTATGAATATGAGATGATTGTACTGTGTTATACCGGTTATGAATGTAAGGTTTTGTATTTGATTTGTAAAGGGTATTTTCAAGGTGTTTCTATGTTGTTGAGAGTAGGTGTTATGTATGTGATTTTGAAGACGTGTGTTGCATGTTTAATAATGTGTTGTATCTGGCTCGTAACACTTAAACAGGAGAAGAGAGACCTTATTCATAGCAAACAGATGAGTCCGGGTTGAACTGGGGCGAAAAACCTGCTGAAATGCTGTTTTCGGACCTAGGAACGATCGTGCGTCCCAGGGTACGCACGATCGTGCGTGGCTGGCAGTAGCTGCTCGCCTTCGATCATATTTCAGGGGTAAGTCGCCCAACGGTTGGGAGACTTATAAGTCGCCAAACGGTTTGACGACTTATAAGTCTCCCAACCGTTGGGCGACTTACCCCTGACTGTGGTTAATCCCCAGCAGTATATTGGTAAATACTTTTTTCCAGCATTATTTTCGTAATTAATTAATTAATCTTTATATATATAAAGAGAACATGATGGAGATCCAAATAGAAATCTATTTGGAGCCAAAAGAAGTGAAAATTTGTTGTCACTATTAATGAAGCATTACTTAATGAAGCCATATTAAGTGCCAACCTAATTAATTGTTGTATGTTATAAATAAAATTTTAGAAAATTGTCACTATTAATGAAGCATTACATGGTGAAGCCATATTAAGTGCCAACCTAATTAATTGTTGTAAGTTATAAATAAAACTTTAGAAAATTATATTGAGCATAAATACATTAAATATTAAAAAAATATTAAAAGATACATATACATAATTAATTAAGAGACATAATATAATAAAGTTAAAAATGAAATGTTCTAATTTCATAATATAAAATAGATTATTGCAATATATTTGGATACAAATATTATGTAAAAGACAATGATAATACTCATTACCCCATTAAATGCGTCCATAATTTACTTGCATGTGGAACATAAATAAAGTAAAAATTAATTTGTATGTGATTGAGATTTTTACAAATCAGTTGAGAAAAATAATTTACCTGCATATTTATTAGTTTAAATGAAATGATAATTTTTGTTGGGACAGTTGCAAAAATAAAGTTAGCACAATTTAACAAAATGAGAGAGTAATTGTTTTTTATAATTAGCTGCAACATAAAATACAAAAATTCATTCATTTAATTCTACTATAACTATTCATTAGTATATAAGTAACTATTTTAATAATCCGTTGAAATCACAATTTGAAATAATGTTTCCCAATTCTGAAATGATTTTTAGCTAAAACATATAGTGGTTTTAACAATCTTGACATGTAGCTTTTATAAAACATATATTGAGATGAATGAAGAGATATTGTGGAGTACTCCCTCCGTCCCTAATAACTTTGCCAATTTTGATCGGCACGGGGATTAATAAAGTAAAAACTGTGTTGTTGAGATTTGTGCAGAGGAGAGAGAATTAACTGGAACCACAAATTCTTTACTTAAATGGGAAAGTGGCAAAGTTAATGGGACATCCAAAAAAGGAAAGTTGGCAAAGTTATAAGGGACGGAGGGAGTATAAAATAAATAATTTCACTTTTTAGATGGAGTATATTTAGAAATTTTAAAACACAACAGGATAGTAAAAAGTAATGTCATGTATTGAATAATCATCATAATTATAACTAAATAATACGGAGTGCGACGTATGAGATTGTAATATGATAACAATTGTTATCATCTGCATTAGACAAGATATGTTAGGGATGAAAGAACACATATTTGGTAGTTTTATACTAATTGATGATCATACATGTATTCTAATATAATTATATACCATGATTTTTATTTTTATACAATAAGTATGTATATACACATTACTCATTAAATAAATTATTTGTAAAAGTAAATTGATTTCATTTGTTCTCCGTGCAACGCACGGGTGGATTGACTAGTTAACATTAATTAGAAAAAAACCCTTAGCCGTATTACAAAGTTTATAACTCTATATATTATTACTCCTATTAAATATGGGGAAATTTATAGTTACAACTTAATAAACATTCAAGGGATCGATAGATTTGCAAAAATCACGACATAAAGTACACTTCAATATGTGAGATGAATGAAGATCTAAAAATGCAAAAATCCTTAGAAATAAAGAACTTACATTCATTCTTAATTATTATTTTTGCCTGAAACATACTCGTGATAATTATTAAAGGAACTACAATAATTACGAGTATAAAAAGCTTGATATATGATATATTGCATATCAAACAATTACTACAACAAATCAAAGAAAGGAAAGGAATAGTGACATTCCATTGCTTCCATATATATTTAGAATTGGGAAGGATGAAGTCAAAGGAGGCAGCAGCAAGCAAGAGGAGTTCCTATAACTCCATTTCTAGGTACTTTACACAAGCCACCTTTGGGATAGCCTTGTTGTTTGCATAGAGTTGCACAATCCCCTACCTTAGGTGAACATGCCCAATTACACAACTCCTCTAGTCCATCTGCATGATTCTCCAATCATTACATACCAACAACAATCACAATTGCAATAACGGAGTAATAAAACTACGGAGTTTTAAACACTATATGCCTTTATACCTGTCTACCACTGCACCATCACAAAACATCGTTATTGGATGATTAATTAAAACTCTTAGGTTTCTTAATCTTTATAATAAATCTATTGTTACCGTTAATAGTCCTGTAACTTTAATCACTTAACTTGCAAATTTGGTCTTAGGATGTTTTTAATTGGACTGTAATCCGTTTCAAACCAGATCGGACCACACTTGAATAGTTATAATAAAATATAAAGAGACCAGACATTACCAAACCATATCAGACTGGCAAATTACAGTCCAAGTAAAAAGATCCTTATAACTAATAAACTTTTGCACTTTAAGGACTTTTTCACCGTAAAGTGCACTTTTTGGCAGAAAAATCCGATATCGGTGACAACTTTTCCTGTATACTGCCAGAAAGTGTACTTTTCAAGGGGAAAGCCCTTAAATCGTAAATAATAATTAGTTACATGACCAAGTGACTAATTATTTAAGGGGAAAGCCCTTAAATTTGCAAGTGACTAATTAGGGGCGTAGCCAGGACACTGGGCTAGACTGGGCCGGTACAAAGAATATTATTGGAAAAAAATTTACACGAAAATTTTTTACACTAAAAATATTGACATTTTTCAAATTTGGGGTGGGCCAGGGCCTAGCCTGGGCACCCCCTAGCTCCGCCCCTGTGAC